GATCACCAGGAAATATTAAGGAAAAAAACTCTTAGAACAAAGAACAGTAATCTGGTTTGGTAGAGAGCACCTGCTTAACAGGGGTAAGGAAAGGTTGTAAGTGGAAGTAAATCAGGAATGGGCTAAGTTCAATTTCTTAGGCTTAAGAGCGGTAGAAAATAAAAGAGCTGTGCCCACCAGGACAAAAATTAAATAACCTTCCTAGCCTGTTAAGTGTAAAAACCCCTCTATTGTGCATCTTGTGTGAATCGATCAGTGTAAGTTTAGTTATGAGGAGTAGGCACAAACTTAAAATGTTTTATTCAAAGAGCATATACAGAGCAAAAAGCAGAACTTTTAGAGTAGTTTGGGCTTCAAGCCTGTGTCCAGATAACCAAGATCCATTTTCTGGGTTTCCTCTTACAGGAGTACCCAGTGATAACTGAAATAGCTGTAGAGAATCATGGATCATTAGCTGTCTAGCCATCTGATACAACACAGGCCTACTTCAAACAGACTTCCTGCCATTACAGGAATTTTTCATTTCCTAAAATGGTATAAAAATACCCAAGTATACCACATACAATCAGATAACATTTCAGCTGCTTGAATAGTTCTCAGAAAAGGCTGGGAGTAAGGACAGACATCCCGGCAGTGACCTTCATCCTGAATAACCCCTCCAAACAACACACACGATCTTCCTTCTTACTGGGCAGCTGCCATTACTTGGGCAGCCCAAATAAAGCCCCAGTGCAGCTTGTGCACAGAATCAAGATCCATAGTTCGCTTCATCGAAGGCCTTTCTGGCTCGTTTCAGTTCTTCATTCATAGTAAGGAGGTCTTTAACCCTGGCAAACTTCCGGGGGTCCTTGCGAATTAGAAAGACGATGTCCTCGACCTGTACACGGCCCTGCCGCCCGATTGACATGGCCTTGTGTGTCTGTCAGAGGGGAAAAAAGGAAAGTCAACAGGGTTCCTTTGCCACTTTTTTAAGTTCTCAATTCCACTTTATTTCCTGTAATTTTGTAACAAAGCAATTGCAGGACCTGGGCACCATCATCCTAGTCACAACAGAACTTCCCAGTAAACCATGGACTTAACTGTTGCTCTGCTGTCCCCAGCTCCCTGTCACCTACACCTACGCATAGCAGTATATATTCATCACATAATGGTATCAAAACTAAAGCTAGATTACAAGTATGATGCCCAGCCTGCAAAAAGCCTGAAGATCAGGCACAACTTGGAAGAAATGTGAGGTAACCCTATCAAGAGGACAGTGTAGGGTATTTTGATAAGGAAAGGCAAGGGCAACCTTTTAAAAGAAAGGGGAATGCTTGGATACTTTAAAAGAGTATCCAAATACCTGGTAGAGTAATGGCTTCAGGCCCCAGAATGCATTTCTTTTGCAGCAGAGCTACATTCCCATCCACGTAAAGACACTGGGTCAACACAAAAAGTTGACAGATTTTCAAAGCTGAGCCTTGTCTTCTGTCAGCTGCACATACAGCGATGCCACAGTGACCCCCAAAGTCAGATGTGAATTTCCCCTCCTACAATACTAATTTAACCGCTACGTAAGGACTTCAGTTTTCTAAATCCACGTGGAGCAAGATGCATGAATTTTGCCTTTCTCTTGGAAAAGCAAAATCCGAGTTTAGCTTTCTCCTACTAGCACCATGACTTTGGGGCCTGGGATAATGCAGTATTTGAGTCAGAGGTATTATTTAGAAGACTAAAGTCCTTGTGAAGATGTTTTGACCATGCTGTCTAGAGCTGACTTACCATTTCTGTGATAAACTCTATTACAAGGTCCTCAAGAATGTCCACGGATTCTGTGTAAGGGTTCTGGTCATCCCCGAATCCATACATCATGCATCTTACTGCACAAAGAAACACTCAGTGTGAGGCTCCTTTCATCCATTCTGTAGTGTCAGCAGCACACATCTAGTTAGAGTTCACCAGCCGGCACATTCCTGCTCCAGGGTGGTGCAGGAATGTAACTCTTGTCTGTTAGGCAGGGTAATACTTGAGCAAACATACAGGAAATAAACAGAAACCAACAAAAGCCAGGTGCTGTACATGCAGAAAAGCACATCTGATAACAAACTTTTTAAATACTCATTTAGCCCGCAAAGCCCTATACACTGACTTACAGCACAACAGACTTTGGGCACAGCTCGGTTCAGAGGATGCACCAGCAGCACTTTTAGGGAGTCTACATGACAGCTTTCTGCACTTGCAGCCAGGGCACAGAATGAAAGCCGCTGTTTTGCTAAGGAAAAGTGAGTTTAGGAACTCCACAGCTATCTGCTCAGAGTTTCAGCTGAATGACCCGTCCGGGCTGGTTTGGGCTGGGCTGTCCGGCCCAGCTCGACTCACGCTCTTTGGAGAACAGCCTCTTCCTCCTGCCCTGCCCGCCGTCCAGGCCCCCGCCGGCGTCCTCCGCGTCCTCTTCGAACTACACGGGCACAGCGGGGAGAGGCCGCGGTCAGCGCCCGCCGGGACCCGGCCCCTTCCCGCTGCACCCCCGCCCGCGGTTGGGATGGGATGGGGACCACCGGGAACTGCAGCCCCTCCCGCCACTCACCGGCACGTCCTCCTCCTCATCGGCCATGGCTGCCGGGCTGCGCCGGAAGGGATTCCTATTCCCCTTCCCCTTGCCCGGCCCCGCCTCGCCGAGCCCGCCGAGCTGTGGAGGGGCGGGCACGGGGCGGTGCTGCCGGCTGGGCGGGAGCTGGTTGGAGTCGTGGCACCAAGGATTTAGTGGGAGAGGTGTGGTGACCCTCCCCGTATCTGTAGTCGACACGTTATTGGATTGTCAGATCAGGATATCGTGGTCTGAAAGTGAACTCGGGAGGTGTCTGGTCCATTCCCCTGCTTGAAAGGTTAAATGATGTTAAAAAGGTCTCCCGGTCTGCCTGCGCGGTTCGCAAGGGCTTTTCCTTCCCTTGAGAGAGATGCGCTTGCCCACGTTCATAGAATCATAGAATGTTAAGGGGTTGGAAGGGACCTTAAAGATCATCTTGTTCCAACACCCCTGCCATGGGTGGGAACACCTCCCAGCAGCAATGCCCCATCCAACCTGGCCTTGATCATCACCAGGGTTGAGGCATCCACGACCTCCCTGGGCAACCTGTTCCAGTGTCTCACAATAAAGAATTTCTCCCTAATATCTATCCTAAGTTTCTTCTCTTTCAATTTGTACACATTACTCCTCATCCTGTCACTACAGTTCCTGACAGAGAGTCCCTCTCTGGCTTTCCTGTAGGCCTCCTTCAGGGGGGCCCTCACAATCTCCTCTTCTCCAGGCTGAACAGCCCCATCTTCCTCAGCTTGTCTTGGTAGGTGAGGTGCTCCAGTCCTGTTGAATTTCATGTTTGCTGTCAGCCCTTTCCTCCAGCTCTCCCAAGTCCCTCTAAATGGCAGCCCTGCCCTTGAGTGTATCAACTGTTCCCCCCAGTTTCGTGCCATGTGTTGTTTGATAATGCATCTGCTCCAGATTACTCGTAAAGATGTTCACCTGGACACATTCCAGAATAGATCACTGCAGTGTTCCATTTGTAACTGCTGCACAACTGGAGTATGACCCACTGATTTCAATGCTTTGAGCCCAGTTATTCCACTAGTTTGTTAATGATTGAGTAGTGCAACTGTCCAGACTGTAATGTTCTAATTTTGGACATTGTTGAAAAATACTGCCTTTGTAGTGCCAGTGTTATGGTGACAGACTAGATCAGACACAGACAGTAGAGAAAGAAAAAGGAGAAATTACTGCTGAAAGACCAGGGAAGATGCACAAGGTGGAATCCTTTTCCACAGAAGCTAGTACTCAAGATCATTCTGCAAATAACAGGTGCAGAAGAGGCAAAAGTTTACAAGGTAATGCTGGGTGCCTGCAGAGAAGCATATGCACTGCAAACAACCCAAGACATCTGAATTTAAAACCGAAATGAGCTCTACTGCTTCAGTAAGCTGCCAGGCCCACCCACCACTCATCAAGGGGGAAAGGGAGAGCATTTGTGTCCCTGGTCTGAGAAAGTGCAACTCCTCATACAGCATGTTCCTTAAGAACTTGGCATAAAAAGTCCAGTAGTGTGTCAGACACCTGTTTACCCAAAGCAAGTTCCCATGAAGACACTTAAATATAAGTTTTACTGTTTAAGTAAAGGAGAGGACTTGCTTTTATTTGCTGTCTTACTTGTCACTTGTCACAGGGGCACTGTTGCACTCAAGAATCCAACTGTGTTGTTCTTGCCTGCAAATGGCCGAGCAAAATGCTCAGAATGACATGACAGCCATGACAAGACTAATGCTTTTCAAAAATCCTGGTTTTAAAATACTAAGAAAGAATTCTTCCTGAAGTGTTCACTTTCACCTGTTCCATCTGTCTAGATACTACTGCACTTCCCCTAGGATCATGCATCCTCTGGGCTGGTTTGCTCTGTAGCATTTTGGGATTAGAGGTAAAACATTAAGAGACTTACAGGTTTAATTACTGTTCAAATGCAGAAGCTAGAGAGCCATGTCTTTCTACTGCATTTATCACATTCCCCACTTCTTACATGAGTGCTGAAAACAAGCCTCACACCTCATGTCTAGTCTGAGAGTTACAAGAAGTTGCATAATGAAAGGGCTATAAATGTCACCTTCTCACCCTCAGAGTGGTTTAGAAAAAAATGCCCTTTCATGAGGTTTAAACACTTAATGCAAGTAACCTGGAGAACTGCACCCCCATATTTGGCCATGTTAAGACATGACAAAGTCCGAGTGCCAGAGTTCGACACAGGCACTTAATAGCTTTGGTCTAAGTTCTCCTGCATGACTGCTGCTATTGACAGCTCTCCTTCTGTCTGACTCTGTACCTTGTAAACTTCACAGTTTCAGGTGCTCTTAGTCAGACACAGCTGGTGTGGGACACAGTTCTCCGAGCTTCTACAGTATCCCTAAAGAGTATGGGACACATCAGTACTGTGCTTCAGCTGCCAGGGCAGAACAGACACAGATAATGGACAACAGGTCTCAGATCTGGCAATTCATCCGAGTGCAGATGCAGAACTTCATGCTGGATCGAGAACAGAAAGTAAATGCAGCACTGACTGATGATAATGTGCAGAAAAAGAGGCTTCCTCTAGATGGCCAGTCTTTCATTTCACTGTTCAAGCCAACAGTGATCGAAAAGTAGATCCCACTGAAGATGTGTCCTTTCCTTCACCCATCTGGAACAGGGACAACTCGATGTATGCAAGCAAGGCATGTTATCTCACTGCACCTACTGAATGCAGAACACAAAAAGTTACAAAAGTAAAACACATAGAAAGTCAAACACACCTTCACACACAATATGTTGACTATTTCCACTCTAGATGGCCTTACAGCAGGAAGGTTGTACAAGTGGTAGCTTTTGGCTCCTGCTATCCTAACTCTAACCCTGAGAGAAGTAAACTTCTGTGTATCATTCAGTTCAACTGGACAAGTACAGTTTGCTTAACGTTAGGGCTATAGTTTTTCTATTCTAAACTAAATGCCTCTTTATTAAAGATATTACTAGACTATCTCTAATATCCTAAAATAGCAGAATTTAGGCATGCAGTGGTATCTTTTTGAACATTTCAATGGAGAGAGAGGAAATGCTGTATTAAAACTTCACTTCTCTTTGGAGGTTCTCTGCACAATCAGGTAGGTTTCATAAAAGAGTTTTATAATAACCTGGATTCACTCATACTGCAAACTTCTTGAATTGATGAACTTAATAAGCAAAAAGCTTAGTTTTTACATATATGAATTTATCCTAAATAATTTCTGGTACCGTGGGTTATTTACAAGAAAAAAACACAGACCTTTTGTTCCAGATGAGCTGAGCAGATCAGGAGTCAGTCTTTTCAGCTGGTCTCTACAGCAGCCAGGTTTCCAGTAACATGGGCTACAAAACACCTTAGCAAGTGAACTCCTGAAAACTCCACAGAACTGTGGAAACAGAGGCATGGATGTTTAGTGCCAGATAATGCTGTGTCTTGGAGTAATACAAGGAAACAGCTACTTGCTGTGTTCAGTTACATCTCCCACAGTGCAGTACACCTTGGTATGAGCCTCAAGTTCGGCTCCCTAATGCAACAATTACAGCTGCTACTGTTACCATAACTCCAAATAGAATGGCAAAGCCTGCTAACATTCAGCACCAGGACTGCTGCCCATCTCCAAGGAAGGCCAAAGGAAGAAGCAACCTTGAAAACAACTCTGCGGAGGAGGGGGAAGAAGAAAAAGGACATTTCCCATCCTCCATCCTTGGTGCATAGAGAGGGGCTGCCTCTAAAGTGGACAAACCCATTTCAGCTCAGCTTGCCCTACTGAATTTATCACCCAAAAGGAAATGGCAGCAGCACAGCAGAGCTTTACCTGACCAGGAACAGTTGAGGAAAGCATCCCTGAGTGTTCTCCTTTACAAACTCCTGGATCCCCAGTACATTCTTTAACAACAGTCCCCGGGCAGCTCGGTCAATTTTGGTTAACACCATCTGCATGGATCCAGAAAGGGAGGATTAAAAGAGGAAAATAAGATTATTTCGCTGCTAGCCTGGAACATCTGTAAGAGTCCTGGACCATCTTGCAAGGCAGACTGAAAGCTCTGGGTCATATCTAGCGGGAAAAATTAAACACAGTTCACCAAAATACTTCTACAGCCTGCCATAAGGAGCAGGCATTTTCAAGCTCCTCAAGCTGAACACTGAAAAAAAAAGTATCCATTTAATAAACAAAGCAAAAAACCCCTTAAATCCCGCTTGCCTTACTCAGCACATTTTAGGCATATTTTATTAATAATAAAGGGGGTTGGCTTACTGCATGGATAGAACAACCTGCATAAGCTCAAGTATAGGGTACACACCCTTACAGATTACCTGTACCTTATAACCAACCCAAGAAAGCAGCATTACCTACCACATAAGGAATTCCAAACTCTTCCAGCATCTCTACTGCAATATGATCTGTTTTCTGGAGTCCAACTACACCATCAACTAACAGAAAAGTCCTCTTCAAGCTGCCAGAAAGACAAGCAACAGTAATTGCCACCATTATTTCATGCCTGCTCTGCTACTTCCAAAATCATAAGGAGAAACAAAAACATGAGATCTGGGGATAGGAAGAGTCAAGAAAAGCCATGCATGGAAGATGAAGGTCAGCATGGAGCAGCACCTCAGTCTTTTCTGTTGTTTTGATCTGAGCATGAATGAATGACACTGCAGAAACTCCCAGGGAAATTATGTCAGAACTAACCAACACTACCACTGGAAGCACCTACCCCTCTTCATTTTTTCACCTAATTACATGACACTGTATGTAGGTGTCCGGCATTCACTGCTGTGAAAGTCCCTTACTTGCGCCGTTCCTGCAGGTAGGCCTCCACCATCTCCACGAAGTCTTGCGGGGCACGGTAGCCGTATCCTGGCATATCCACCAGAGTAAAGTACTTCCCTACTTTGAAGAAATTCATCTTCTTGGTGTGGCCCTGAGAAGAGGATTTAGGACAGGATCAGGGAAGGCAGTGGTTTTAAAAAGCTGCTTTAAGCAGTGTACTAGGAGATGCCTCACAAAACATCTCTATGCCCCTGGCCCCCAGAATGCTACTGTTGCTTTAAGCCGCCCAGTCTCCTACCCTTGTAGAAATCCTACATGGCTCTGTCCATAAAACAGACTAAAAATGCCTTCATGGGTGTCTCAGCTTCTTCTCAAAGGACTTAACAGCACATCTGTGCAACTGCACCTGCTCAAGCTGTGCAAGTCCTCTGTCTGGCACATGTGCCAGGCCTGGCTGAAGAGCTAAGATCGGCTCTTTCTGCCTCTTCCTGTGCTTGAGCAAGGCCATTGCCATCCATGAGCTGGTGGCCACCACAGCTGGCACATTCTCCTGCTGTTTCAGGTTACCCAGGAGCTTGTCCCCTCCCACCCTTCTGACACCAGTTTCTGACAGAGACGGACAAAAGTTAAAAAAGTCACTCACCGGAGTTTTTGACACTCTGACCTCCACTTCTGGAGACAGTGAAAATAAGGCCCGGATTAAAGATGATTTCCCCACATTGCTTCGGCCGATGAAGCACACCTGCAGAGGGAGAGGCAGAGAGGGCACATCTACACATGCCCTCAATGTGCCGGGGCAGTACCACAGTCCTGGTCATTTCCCAGCCCTTGGTGCCAGTGCCTGGGGACAGCAGTGTCCTGTGCCACGGGCACGCCGGGCTGCTGGGCTGCACAACGGAGAGCAACAACAAATGAACTATTTTAAAACAGCACCAGTAAGTGCAGCACGCACTGTGCAGTGCTCTGACACTGCCGCCCCCAGAGCTACACAACCACCGCCAACACCCCTTAGCCCCAGCAGCTCGGCCCGGCCCGGGCGGTGGGAAGCCGCTGTCCCAGCCCAGCACAGCCGAGGGGTGCGAGGGCAGCGCAGCGCTGACCTCGGGCAGGGTGGGCGGCGGGGCGTGGTCCATGCGGACGGCGGAGCTCACGTAGTCGATGGGGTGGCCCTGGCCGGACCTGAAGAGCGCCTCGGCGCGCTGCAGGGCGCCCAGCCCGGGCTCGAAGATGTGGAACCACGCCGTGTCGGTGCCGGGCGCCAGGTACCGCTCCAGCTTCTGCAGCGGGAACATGACCCCGGTGCGGCGGCTCTGCTCCAGCCGCAGCACCTGGGACAGGGCGGCCAGCGGCGGCGGGACCCGGCCCGCCACACCGCCCGCCCGCGACAGCAGCATCCCGGCGCCTGCAGGCGGGACCCGACCAGGCCCGGAAGGCGGCAGGCGGGACAACGGGATAGCGGGGCGGGACAGAGGGATAGTGGGCGGAGCGGGGCGGGCGCGGTATCTCTGGTGCCCCCGCCCGGCCCGGTGCTGTCAGGGGTCGGCTCGGCGGCGGCCGTGTCCTGCTGTCCATGTCGCCCTTTGAGAGGGGCAGGCCCTTCCCAGGCCCGACTGTTTACAGAATCACAGGATATGCGGAGTTAGAAGGGACCCTCAAGAACCGTGGAGTCCAGCTCCTGGCCCTGCACAGGACACAGCCCCAAGAATCACACCACGTGCCCGAGAGCATTGTCCAAGCGCTTCTTCAGCTCTGTCAGGCTTGGTGCTGTGACCACTTCCCTGGGGAGCCTGTTCCAGTGCCCAAACACCCTCTGGGTGAAAACCCTTTTTCCAATATCCTACCTAAACCTCCCTTGACGCAGCTTCAGGCCATTACCATGGATCCTGCCACTGGTTACCAGAGAGAAACGATCAGTGCAAGCCATTCTGCTTCCCCTCATATGGGGATGTTGAAGACCACAGTGAGGTCTCCCCTCAGTCTCCTCCAGGCTGAACAGATAAGTGACCTCAGCTACTCCTTGTATGGCTTCCCCTCCGGACCCTTCACCATCTTAATTTCTCGCCTTTGGACATGCTCTAACAGCTCTATATTCTTATACTGTAGTGCCCAAAACTGCTCACAATATTCAAGGTGAGGCCGCCTCAGGTCAGAGCAGAGGGGGACAATCCCCTTCCTCGACTGTCTGGTGATGCTTTGCCTGATGCCCCCAAGGACACGGTTGGCCCTCTTGGCTGTCAGGGCACTGCTGACTCATATTCATCTTGCCTTCGACCAGGACTCCCAGGTTCCTTTCTGTGGCACTGCTTTCCAGCAGCTCATTCCCCAGTCTGTATGAACACCCAGGGTTGCCCCATCCCAGGTGAAGAGTCCAGCACTTTCCCTTATTAAACTTCATATGTTTGGTGATTGCCCAGCCCTCTGATTTATCAAGGCCTCTTTGCAGGGCCTCTCTGCCTTTGAGGGAGTCAACAGCTCCGCCGAGTTTTTCTCATCTGTTTAGCTTTGGGTCTTCTCATCTGTGTTCTTACAGACTCAGGCCAAGCCCAGCAACACTTCTGAGCTGCTGAGGGCTCTGTGCACTGATGCTCTGTTTGGCCACGGAACAGGGCAAAACAACCCAGTCCTGCAGCATCCTCTGGCTCCCTGCTGCAGCCATCAGATTTCCAAGAGCTATCCCGATAAGTAAAAAAATTAAGAAATTAAAGAAAAAAAAATCAGTAATTTCTGCTTAAGTTGAACTATATAGAGGTCAGTTCTATTTTGGATAAAATAAACAAACCCAAACTAACGACAAAACAGTTGCCACCTGTGTTCACATTATAGTAAAAAAACCCGTGAAGTTTTACTGCTTAATTGATATGTAGCACTGTTTTCGTATTTAAAAAAACTACAGAGCTTTTTACATTATATTTCTCCATGACTACAGTTCATAGGGCTACAAAATCTGCAGAAATAAATGTATGTCCTTGAAACATTTCAGCTTCAAAGAAGTACCACAATTTTAGCACCATCAAATGAAAGTAAACTTCTATCAGTATCTTTATTAAAGTAATATATAAAAATATCCTGATGTTGGCCTTACAGCCAGGCAAGCCTGGGAGTCCTAGGGAACGCTGCTTTTTCTTTGAGACAGAGACCCCTTTTTCTTCTGCAATCATAGCCTTCTGTTTAAAGTGCTATAATTCTGAATAGTTTAATTTTTACAATTAATAGATTTAAGTCCAGGAAGGACTGTTAGAAGATAACAGAGGCTACATCCTACTTTCTTTGTATTGAGCTCAGTTACAAAGCTGTAGGGAGGGAACTTCCATCCCTTAAGAAAAGGCCAGCCAGCAACATCCATGCATCTCAGAGATAGCTTCAAATATTTTGTAGTAAGACAAACTTCTACAGAAATGCTGCTTCTCAAATTTATGATCAGTGAAAGCTGTTAATGGTGAGAGGTTAACTGTATAAATGTAGGGAAAAAGACCTCCTGTATTCTACTACCTGTAAATCAAGTCCTCTTAAAATCTGCTTTGTTTCACAGCAAGACAGAGCTCAAATGTGCATAGCTCAGGACAGACCACAATCAGTGGCTGCTACATGCATGCTTAGAAGAGTGCTCCCAAATAAATCTACAAATGCCCTTTATTTGGTTCCAACCAGTTTGGAAACTACAGAGCAGGCCTCCCTCCTGTCATCCCAGGGGTATGAATAACCATAGGTAAATGTAGAAAAAAAAAAGCAAAACCTTTCAAGAATTATGTCAAGAACACTGCTAATTGGTTTTTTGAGGGGCTTTTTGATGGTAATGCAGCAACCTAATTTTAACTGAAATCTGTGGTGAATCAGGTAACAGCAAAACCACACTGTCCAGAGGTATGTTCATAACCATTCCAGTAGGCAGATTTCCACATTTCTATGCCAAACTGTGACACGCAAAACAGAGGAAGTGCTACTTTTGCCTCAGAGTCCCACACAGCTCACTGCTGCAGGCAGCAGACTTGCCTACTTCAAATCACCCTGCAGTAGTTACCCTCACCAGGCACACGTTCTCTAGCACATCACACCCAGAACAGCCAGCCAGAGACAGGAGGGAAGGCAGCAGAGAAACCAATCAGCCATTTAACAGTACCTCTGCAGGTGTGATGATGTGAACAGAGGTGCCCAGTTCACAGGCTAGTGCCCCAGCCACTGTTAGGTCTTCCTTTTAATGTGACTACATAGGTGGCAGGAACAAACTAAGATGGTATAGGACCTTCTGAATACTTGTAATTATAGCAAAGGGTGGGATAAACAAGAGCATCCAGTAAACCCACATCTAAAACCTGAAATACAGAACTGTGCATTTCCATGGAAGGTGGTTTGTTTTTTTTCCTGTACTAAATTGCAGTCCAGGTTTTCTAAGGACAGACTATGAAGATGGAAGATGGCAGGTTACTGTGGACAGAGCTGGTAAATTAGCAACATTTAAGCCTACTTTGTATCTCCCCTGAAAGACTATTTTCTATTGTGCATGTTATTGCCAAACATTTGGCGTTCTGTCTGACATTGCCTATGCCTCATGTCTGTGACAGCAGATGTCTCTTTTCAATTGTTGGTTATGTAGTTCAAATGTTAGAGAATTACTACAAATTTAGTCCACATTAAAAACTCTGACAATCGTTCCTCTGGAGTTTGAAAGAGGGATCTATAACCATTGACACTGACCTAAATCCCAAACAATGGCCAAGAGCGTGGAGCTGGAAGCAAGTGGTAACACTAGTTGTCTTGTCTGGTCTGATCTTGTCTGGTCTGATCCCAGCATCGCGAGACAGGCCAAACTGTTATTCATTTCAGATACTTCTCAGAGAAGGGTATATGTGAGACCAGCTGGAGATGGAATTCTGTGAGAACAGTGAGGGCCTCTTGTTGTGCATTTGGGACAGGCAGTTTGGTTCCTGTGAACCAAAACCAGCTGGGCTCTTGAGTTTCATTTCCAGAAAGAGAAACTCAGACCAGGAAGCATGCTGAAAAGGACAGAGCACACGCACCAACCTGCCTACTTTTTTCTGTGACAGTAAGAGCACTGCTGACTGTGTCTAAATCTGTGCTTGCCCTTAAATACCTCTTATGTTCTTTTCACTTAGAAAGTGGTTTAGGAACTAGAGTTACTAGGATATGCTGGTTTAAATGCTAAATTATTTATATAAAATACTAAGAAACTCTGTGTTTTTCTCTATGCAAACTATTCTATTGGGGGGGGGGGGAAGAGACGTGTCTGTATCCCCAGTAAGGAATTCAAGGCCACAAACCCTTCAAGGGCTGGATATTCTCAGACATTAAAAGTAGTTAAAAAATTAAAAATACTCATTATACTTATTAGTGGGAAAGGTTTTTAAAGGTTCTGAAATAAAGTAATGGAAGACAGAGGGATTATTGTTCATGTTGCAGCCAATATTGCTGATCCCAGCTGAAGAGTAGTTTCTACTGGTTTTATAGAGCTGAAATTCTCTTTTCAGTATTCATCTTAAATTTTATTGACTTCTTCTATTTGCATGTGGTCTGACCTGTGCTGTAGCATTTGTTTTTGCATTTCAGGCTTTCGGGCAAAGAGCCAAAACCAGAACTACTTCATCCATTTTTTCAGAGTTGGCCTTGGTCATTAGCACAGGATGCAGTGCTGTGAGTGCGCAGAAGAGAAGAAATTTCTGTGTCTTAAGTGTGCTAAAGCTATTAGAAACTCCTTGAATCTAGGCTGAAAAAATGAAAGTAGTGCCAATAACACTGACTGGTGAGGACACTATCAAGTGGAAAAGCTCCCTATAATTGGTTCATATGGGATGGGGACCATATAACCACTGCATCAAGAATTGACTTGAGACAAACTTTTGCTTCCTTAGTTCTGGTTGCTGGGTAGCAGCATTACTAGGGTAGCAGCAGGTAAATCTTGAAATAAAGGAATTGGTAAAGAAGGAAGACAGTGCCATGTGTTTCCTTTCCAGTCTTGCTGTGCCTCACATCATGCAGTGATTTTATTGCTGATGTTCAGAACATCAAATGAAGATATGTGAGGGCACTTCTGTACTCCACGTTCTTAACCAGGTTTATCAGCAGAGCTCCTGTTTTCATACAATCCATGTCTGTTCCAAAACAGTGCAATGGCATGAAAAAACAAAAGGCTCAAATAATAGAAATTTCCAAGCAAAATACCAGCTTGTGCAGTAACCTAGTGTTGCTTGACTGAGATCCCACAACAAACCTTTGTTTTGTTTATAATAATCATCTAGAAATGTAATCTTATTGCCTCATCCGTTTGAGGTTACCCTATTTAGCATGCTGAAGTTTTTGTGGGCATAGCATCCAAAAGCTGCAATGCAACCACAAATCAGGGGCACTGATAGCTCATGTAGCCACAGTTCTGAGTTTTACGCTTTAAGGGCTGAAGGGTCTCATTCTGTCCCTTGCAGATCTACAACACATTTGCTCAGACTACAGTATGCTTTAATGATCTGCACCAAAAGCATTTCTGATGCAGGCAAAGTGTTTATTTGATAATTTATAAATCCAGTAATAGTTTCTGCAAATGCCTTCCTTTTCACTCCCAAAAGGAAGTTCTCTAGTTCAGGAATTAAAACACTTTCCTTAAAAGTTAACTCAAACATACCACATCAATGCTAGAAAAAACCCAGTCAACATCTCTGAAAGCAAGTAAAATGTTTTGTGTTTTATCTAGTAAAAACAAACCAAACCCAACTTTTCAAGATGAGTGTTGTTTCATGCTTTGAGCAGGAGATGGAGAGGAAAGCACAGTTAGAGCCTGGGCCCTGACAGAAGCCCTCAGGGAGGGACTACGCAGCAGCGGCAGCAGCAGCAGCAGCAGCAGCAGCAGCAGCAGCAGCAGCAGCAGCA